TCGTGATCCAGCTAGGGGCAAGCATGATCGATACCCCGCTGGGCGGCCTGGACACGTAAAAACACATGGCTCCAGCTCGGCAATTCCATGTTAGATACCCCCCGTGGGTAGTCTGGAAACGTGAAAACAAGTGTATCCAACTCGGGGCGCACATGCTGGATACCACCTAGGGTGGCCTGAACACATAAAAGACATGGTTCCTGCTGGGGACTACCATGTTAGACTCTCGCAGGTCATGGCCAAAGCAATCCTCGTCCTAGGCTTACATCGAAATGATGGGCCTGCGACACGCTATAGTTGACCCCACGATGCCTCTGGTAGGCAGGCGCAGCGAGCTCTGAGCGGGGGGCTCATTTCACCCCCCCAGAGAGCTCCCCCTAACGAACTAGCACCATGCGGCCGCGGCGCAGCCTCGACGTCGCCGAACATGACGACGACGAGGGTCGGGCGACCAAGCAGGCCGCCGAGGGGCGGGGAGAGGGCAGGGGAGGAGGGGAGGGGGACACAAGGGCTACACATCCTACTGGGCCCCACGGCAAAACCCGTTTAAACAATGTTTAAACGCGCCCCCTCATCCCATTCCCATCCCATCTTCTTATAGTGATATCGGAGCATACGCTCCTTTTCACGCGACGGTTTGGGTTTGGGGTGGGGCTTAGCTTTCGGGAACGGGGCCCAGTAAAAAGATGCGCGCGGCACAGAGCCTGGTTCATATCCAGGCCGGGGGCCCAGAGGGGCACTCAGTGGGGATCGTTGTTGTGGTCTGTCACTGCTCAGTGTACGACCCGGCACGGCGTCAGGTGCGCCGGGATATGACGCATTGAGGATGGTCGACCCGCTCGCGTTCTGACTCATTTCATTTCGACGCGTCTGATTCCTCCGAGCAAGTCTGGACCCGTCCTCAAGCGCCTCAGAAACAGGGGTCTCAGGGGCAGCCTCCGAACTTGCGGGCGGCCTCAAAAAAGCGCCCTTCTCAAGAGCCCCCAGACGGTCCTCCAAGTCACGGCAACCCTCAACCCTTTGGCCAGGGGACATGTCGCTCTTTTTTGGCGTCACAGCCTCAGTTGGTACATGTATCTCCAAAAGAAGAACCCACCATATGCGTTGAGGCCGCCACTGAACAGCACGTCCATGTACCACTTGGTTGTCTCTTGATTGTGGTAGCTGATGTCTGAGAGGAAGACGAAACAAAATAAACACCGTTCTGCACGTGCATCTGCTCATCATAGATCGTATTCTCCCGCGTACGAATACTCTGGTTCTCTCTGCTGTTTGGCGGGCCTGAACTGCGTGCACCAGTAGGATTGCAACACTGGCTGAAACCCATCACGCGCGCCCACCATAACTTGGTCATCTACTTCGGTAACTCCCGGATCCAAACCGACAACTGTCTCTCCATGAAGCCTGGGCGCGCGGCGCGTAGCTGCGAAGCCAGTCCAACTGCTTGAGACTCTCGACGACCGTCCTCCGCTGCGGGCACAGGCACATCACGACGTTGACCTTCACGATCTCCGAGTCGAACGTCTTCACGATGCAGATGGGCTGGAACATCAGCTCGACCTCCGCGATCGAAGCCCTCTGAAGTTGGTGGCCCAGGTCGGTGATCGTCTCCTTGTTCTGACCTCCGATGCCGAGGTCTTTTAGCTCGTTGATCATCGCACGCGCCTTGTACGGTGCAGGCGAAGCCTCCATGGAGTCTTGCTGCTGGGCGATGGCCACGTACTTGTTGTGTTCCTCCTCGGCGGTCGTCACGATCGGGCGTGCTTTCTTGGCCCTGAACGCGTCCATCACCGCTTGCTTGATCCTCCTGCTGTCCTGTGTGTTGCGAGCGGTCTGTTTCATGGGCAGGAACATCACCGGCTTGACGGTCTCGTCTTTGATGCTTGTGATTTCGACCTTCGGCCCCTGGTGTCGCTGCGCGCGGGGTCCTCCTTGACGCCTTTGTTTGGGGCCCCTCTGCCTGCCACCCTTCGTGATCACTGAGGTATCGATCAACCGACTCATCGAAGATATCTAACTCGTGATCTACAGCAAGAGGAAGATGCGCACAGACATGTCGCTGGAGTCGAGCCCAACAGTCCGCGGAATCGTCGCGGCAGACGGGGCACGCCAGAGACTGGGGATCCTGAATCGGGACTTCCAGCGCCGACCGATCGGCGATGCATATCCTATGGATAATTGCGTACTCTAGGTGTTGTTTGGCACGCGCCATCGACTTAAACCCAGACCGACATACAAGACATTGGTTAGTCACGATAGCGAATCGAGCGGCGTTTTGAATACCATGACTCTTCATCCGGCGTGGTTTTAGACTCTTATAGCTTGTAAAACTTGCCCCGCACATAGATCCATCCTCAAGAATAATATCACGTCCACCAGCAGGTTCTAGATCATTACCTTGGCCAGGCACAAGATGGGGCCCAACCGCATCATGTTCGGGGGGGGGGGGGGGGGGGGGGCATCGAGGACTTCCAAAAGGCAGCTCGCAATATACTCGGGT